ATATGTATATTTTTTTTTATATTTTTTTATATTTTTTTATATATTTTATAGAAGCAACTTAGGGAAGCTCGGAATAATATACTTGGATTTGTTTGCGATGAATTAATATAGAATTTGCCGATATATTATTTTTTTTACATGAGTTATATTTATTTCGGTTATGTATATCTTCCAATTTATTTAAAAATTTATTTTTTAGTCTATTCAATTCTTTAATATCAAATAATATTTTATGTATTGGTCTTTTTCTTTTATTGTCAGTCTCTCTCTCTCTCTCTCTCTCTCTCCTGATGTTTCATGTCTTATAAATCTATAAATAATGATATTGATAAGTTGTTAGAAAATTAATAGTTTTTTTGAAAATTGCTGAGTAGTTGTTCGACAATTAGTAATATAATAGTAGACTAATTTCATCAAATAATAATAAACTATTTTCGAATATTTGTGCATATGATTATGTTATTGTTTTTTCTCCTATAAATTATAAAAATTCTAGGCCCAAAATGTAATTAAAATGTTGACGTTGTTTAAAAAAGTAATAAAATAATAAAATTTTCAATATCATATATTTTGTATGAATATTAATATAAGTACTATTAATATAAAGTTAATTAAACGAATCAAATAATGTTTGTAAATGCATTACTAGAATGTGCAAGTATAATATTTAGAAATACGTAAATTTAGCAATCAAAATAGAATCGAACGTTATTGTGTATTAGTTATTGGAATTGAACTTATTTAAAATTTACTTTCTTCGCTGAATTATTCAAATACTTGGAAATATCTAATCTTGCCAGTATGTATTCTAAAATATAAAATAATTCGAGATGTATAATCTCTAAACTTAGGTGCTTTGTGATAATATAGTTTAGGATCTATTTGTGATCTTGCACTTAAATGCCACAATGCAGTTTAAACAGAAGTTAAAAATAATTATTAAACAAATTTATAAATATTATATTATTTTGTTTTGTAAGAAACGTAGTAAGTACTTATAAGGAAATAATACCACTTTTTCGTATTTAAAAAAAAAAAAAAAAAATGAATAACCTGAATTTATTGTACATAATATTATACTGAAATATAAGGTAGTAAGAAATAAACAAGACTGGCTCTTTCTTATAAAAATCGCTATGAAAATGGATTATATATAGAATTCTGTAATAAATACAAACTTTTTTGTTTGATATAAAAATTATGGATTTCGATAAATCAATCAGCATATGAAAATGAAAAACAGATCTTATTGCAAAGTAACGGAGACCCCGAACTACAAATATCGAATTCAGGGCGCGCATAGTTGGTCGACATTGAAAAATGAACACGAAGTCGTGAACAAAAAGTGTAACTCTTGTCGATGTACTTACTACCCGTGATGACGACGACGACAAAAACGAGTATTTTTTTGTTCGAGTATTTCAGGTTGTGAAAGGCTGGCAACCTTCGACAGAGTTTTGATATTGCATAGCGAGTGATGATTTTCGGTTTTCTACCTTCATCTATTCATTATATAATTACATTGATTTTATGTGGTCACGTGACTTCCGTTCTACACCGGATAACGTTTGTCGTTATGGATTTACAAACACGTGGCAAATTAACACAAAATATATGTTATCGGAGCTTTCCGGGAATTGCAAAAAATAGTTCTTAAATTGTGTTACATGATTATAACACGAACAAAATTTCTCGCTCTTAATGCTTAGGATTTCATTCAAAATAATTCGTAAACGTTTCATCGTTTCATGAATTCCGATCTTTCATTCGCACATAGAACTTCAAAAGATTTTCCTACAATTCTGCAAATTTTTGAAAACCTGATTACTGTTTCTCGTATCTTTACTAGTTCAGGATACTCTTTCTAGTAGAGTATCCTTAAATTAGAGACAAATTTTATGTTAAGAAAAAAATGCTTATTTGATATTGAATGATAATAATGATAACTGTCAATGATAATGATAAGTAGGGAAAAAAATTTAATCTCTATCTGAAGTGTCATCGTTTGAGAACTTTCTCGACAAGACTAAACAGCGCAAGCCTAAGTTAAAAATAATGTAATGAAATTAAAATAAATGAAATGAAAAGTCGACTGCGTTGTAGTGCGTGGATCTCCAGCCGGAAAACGTGATTACGCACGGCCTTGATAAGTGATAAAACGCGACGGTGATTAGTGATGAACGCAATATCTATTAAGACACAGAGTGTGTCGTCTCTACGCTCTCGTATCTTTTCGTGAGCCACATGAAACGTTTATTGGCGAAAGGGTTGTATAACACCGATGATCATGACCTCAATTACTCGTAGGTTTTTTTTTTAAAGTCTTATTTTTCAGTCTTGATAGTCGAATATACGTTTACAGCTATAATACTGCAAGTGCTGTACAAATTGGCCAATTAGATTAAGATTTCTGAATCATAAGAACTGAAAGATTTGGCTGGCAGCCTTGGAAAGGAGCGAGCGTCATACTTAGGACTTTGCGCCGTATATCATTATCCTAAAGAAAAAAGAAAAAAATAATGTTTCCCGTGCCTATATAAATCATAAATTATCAAGCAAATAATTTTATTTACAGACTTAATGGTATTAACGTAGTATACGCATGTGTATGATATTTAATGTTAATGAAAACACATTATTTAATCGTTTATTTAGTATCGATATATATGTTGTTAATTGTATTGTCAAGTGTGTGTGTGTGTGCGTGTGTGTGTGTGTGTGTGTGTGTGTGAGCAATGGGAACACATTATTTTCACCTAACACCAATATTACACATTAAAAATTGCATGCTGCAGCGGCATGTGTTGTTGCTGTGTGCAAATGTGAATGCGCATATACACAAGCATATCTGTATAGTTATATGGCATGGCAGAAAATAAAGAAAAAAAAAGTAGCGCGTGACGTGCATGATCCGTTATACGAGTCACATATCCATGTGGAGAAAGTTCATAACCCCCGATTACTGAATTTTTCACGAGCGCGAGCTGCGACTCTGACTTGCCCGACTTGTCCGAGTTGTCCCGAGGTGCTGACACTACCATATCGCGCTCATTCTACTTTATCAATTTGAATTTTTTCTTCCTTCGGCCCTAGAACGTTTTATAGGCTTATTATGGGACGAGTGAAAATCGATGTCGACATACTTTCTAAACTATATGACAATACGAGATGGACAAATAAAAGCTCGGGGTAATTAATGGCCTGGACACGGTGAGATTTCTTGGCAACTTTTGTATTTTTGTCGATGGAAAAACGAAAAACAATATGCCTTTAAGATATTTGTGCTTACGGCTTATATTTCATGCTATTGGCAAATGATTCACACACTTTAATGTTGATAAAAGTGTAAGAGCAAAATGAAATGCATCCGCGCGTTTTCTTCTTTTATCTGAAATTTATATTTAATGGAATGTGTTGTTAAAAGAACTGACAGGGCACAATGTGCTTCGGTGTTACATAAAGCCTCGCTTTTTCTTCTAATTTTCACATTCATACGTATGCCACATGTAGTTAACAATTTGAAGAAGATTTTAATAAACCATTGTACATATATTATTAATTTGTTGATCATTCAAAGTTGAGATGAATTGTCAATTGCAAGGTCTACTTGCTTATATCATTGAGATTAAATATTGATAATACCATAACTATATAAAGACCACCGTCGACTTAAAATTTATCCATTATGCTACTTATGTCGATATTGCAATTCAATTGTTTTATAATTCGAACTCGTATATTATCCTTGCACATTGTATGTGTATAAATAAATTAATCTTGCGTTTTAATTCTTTGATAATTATGTATAACACGTGATTAATAGTATGTTTTGAATAATTTAATCCTATCAGTCCTTTCATTAGCATATGTATTTTAATTAAATTACTATTCGTGTTTAAAATTACAATATTATTAGTTACGAATAATATATGAATATTACAATTTTTGCAAAAGTAAATCAATATCACAACGTTTGTGTGCGTTACATATGATTCAATCAATGCATATACTTTTGCATTATTATTCTAAAATAAACTCCCTATATAATGCATTTGGAAAATCCTCGTTTATTCAACGGAATAGTGAATTTTAATTTAAAATTTCCATGTTTTTAAGATTATCGGCACTATAATTCTAAGGGTGTAACATTTTTTTTTCTAACTCGACAAAAGCTACATTACGTGTTGGCCACTTGCGTTTTTACAAGGAGGTATTATGCATTAGCATACGTTTGCTTGTTTAAAAGAGCCTCGTTTCCAATTCGCGCCACAAGTGAGAGAGAGAGAGAGAGAGAGAGAGAGAGATAGATATTTCAAGTCTCTTTAAATCCTTCATTATTATTTAGTGATTAGAAAATGTTTGAAAAAATTGCCCGTTTTTCGTTAGCTCCCCACATCATTACCCACGGAAATTCTTATGATCAAGAGCTTCAAAGCCTAAACGATATGAAATAATAACGGCGTCTCAACTTTAATCGTTCATTTCTATTGTAAACTTATATGGTGTGCACATTCCATTATTATCGCGCGAGATCTCGAATTTTCCCGTATAAAGCCCCGTAGATGTACGGTTAAAAGTGCCTCCCCCCGCCTGCCGACAGCCACCACCACCGCCGGTACCATCACCGTTACTGAAAAAAGCCCCAATGGAAATCTCACGCGACTCGTCCTTCCGCCATCGCAGCTAGAAAAAACCCCCACCGCGTCGCGCCCAAAGCAAGCACAAAGAAGCAAGCACAAGCAAAGAAAGCAGCGAGTCAGCACCTCCGGGGTAGGAGTCGCCGTCACTTAGGCCGTCACGAGACTCCACTTGGCCCTACATTCGCCCCGACGCATTGAAGAAAACGAAAACGAAAGAAAGAAAGATAGAAAGAAAGAACGAAAGAGCGAAAGTAAGAAAGAAAGAAAGAATAAGAGCGGTCCGCGACGCGTTAAAGTACCCTCGGCCTCGGCTCACAAAATCAGACAAAATCCACCACACGCACGCACTGTCTCTCGCAGCTCTCGCGAGCCACACCTCCCCCGCACGGCCGCGAAAAGGCAGCCACGCTCGCGTTCCTCGCACGGAGACGAGAGAGGCCGTCTAAGGATAAGGATAAGGATCGGCGTTGGAGGGAGCGCCGGAGTTGGCGTCGCTCGGAGCTAAGGAGGCGCCGGGACGCGCACATGCCCGCGGGTATAGGCGCTTCGTACAGGTCCCTCGGGGACCTGGGCGAAGACGTATACAAGAGCACGACCATCGTCGAGCAGAGCCAGACGACAGGCCAGAGCGTCCTCGAGTCCGTGAAGAAGGCCTTCAGCTTCGCCGCGCCCAAGGTCGAGCTTGGCAACAGGAAGAAGGAGCCGCTTATCGAAGACAGGCGCGAGAGCGCCTCCATCGTGTCCAGGTAAACCTTGCGCTCGACGCGCTTTTCTCTTTACCGGCGATGGCGGGTAACTCCCCTGAAACTCAAACACGCACGCGCGCGCGCGCGCGCACACACACACACACACACACACACACAGAGAGAGAGAGACACAGCCGCCCTTCCCTACCATCCACAAACCACCATGACCATCAACCACCAACCACTTCAATGTCAACTCACACCACCCACTTACTACCTTAACCTCCACTTTCCGAACCTGCTCCTGCTCCCTCTCCTACTCCTCCTCCTCTTCCTCCTCCGCTTCTTTATTCACGATCCTACGTGGGATTAGACTTGCCGTTTTTTATTACCTTACTCAGCTGCGTCTGCATTCGAATTTTTCTGGGCTTTGAGGTACGAAGATTTGTTGCATACTTTGGCTGAGCTCGTGCAGTGCCGTAGGGATGCTGGAGTCGTCGCGTCTTCTCCAAGGCTAACGAATGAATTGACATTTTAGATGAAACGAAAAGTCACTTGCAATTTGTGCGAATGCATCGTTATTATTGCATTTTAAGTCTAAAACTTTTTTCCAAATTCATAATCAAGAAATACATGCTCTAGTTGGATGTTCAATTAATTACTTGATATGACGATAATTGGAGTATTTAAAATTCTTAATTGCAATCGATAGATTGCAATGACACAGATTTCGACCTCCAATTTCTCTGTATAAAACATGAGTATTAATGGACGAAACGATTTTTCTAAAAATTCAGTTTTATCATTATATATTTTTCATTTAATAGAAATAGAGCTTTTTAAAAAATTTGTCGTTAACTTTATTTATTTGTTAAAAGTATAATCATCAAAGTTTTCAATTCAAAAATCTATAATTCCGTGAATTTTTATAAAACAACATTTGAATTAATAATTACAACGTTAAAGCGTAGTTTTTCAATTGCATTGCTTTAGAAACTTATAGTTCGCAATTTCGAAAGTCATTTTTTCGTTTTTTTCTTTTTAAATTTGACACTATATTATCGAAAAATGGTTGATTTGTCTAAATTAACTGCAATAAGTTAGAAATTTATCGACGCTTACAGGATTAAATTTTAACGCTCCTAATTGCCACTATGACTTACGGACTTTTTTATAAATTATAAATGTAAATAATTGCGCGCTCGATAAAAGGCAAGATTGTGTTAGATATCATTATCGTGCGTGTCAGAACGTTGAAATGGAATTTTCATCGTCAAAGCTCGACTCGTGTTATTTTATCATTATTTAAGAACAAATTTAATGCCTAAAGTAAAAAAGTACGTTGCATTTCGCAAACAGGACTCGTTGCCACATAAATCAGCTACGGTACTGCATTGACGGAAGACAAGGGAATATGTTTCGCTGCAGACGAGAAGATTGCGAGAGTTGGCTGCTCGCTTGTCTATTCATCTCTCTCTCTCTCTCTCTCT